CAAGTACAGTACAAGTCGGTACATGGACAAGAGAAAACATTGCCAGCCACAGCACACACAACACAGTAGACGGAACAGATCCATTGGATTGAGTGTGGCACAGCACATCCAATGGATCTAAACTGACTCATCGGAGTGAGTGCGAGATAGTACGGCGTGTAGTGATGAGATGGTTAGATGCTGCAGCCACGCCCACAGCCAACAGATATACAGATATACCACGGTACGTTAACTGGCAATACCAACCGCACACATGCACAACACTTGAAAGCACTTCTGCTTAGCACATTGTGAGCACGGGAGTAAATATGTGCACTTTCAAATATAGTGACAACCGACTACTATGAACACCAAAGTACAAGAAATGGCAGATGATTGATGGACACAAACAAATAACAATCAACTTTAAAAGCGCTGCTCAATAGTCTACAGAGTTTTGGGCGGTTTTAGATACACTCTATACCACAACGTGGTGACAAATGCTGGCGCCAGAGGAACAGAATGGACAAAATATCGATTTTACGGAACAATCGCAAGCCACAATACAAGACCAACCAGGCACAGATTTGTTTATACCGAACACGTATTCAAGGATATACTACACCTACCTTTTGCATAACCAACCAGACACAGATATGTTTACACCAAACACGCATTCAAGGATATACTACACCTACCTTTTGCAATCTTCCTCTTGCAATCCACACAGGTCGATCTGTCCGACTTCGCCTCCTCATATTTGGGCATTTTGGCGTCCGTGTGCTGATGGCAGTGATCGAATTTATATATATGACTCTACTGCACTATTAAGGTACATGCAATATACTATGCAGTGTGGTAAGATACATGTATTATACTATGTAGGTGTGGTCAGATCAAGTAAATATTGCTTTTGCAAGATGGGGGTGTCAGATGTGTACGTGTACGCTATGGGTTCTATTGTAGTATAGTGACTGTGATGCATGCGTTGCTGTAGAGAAGGTGCGAACCGCGCACACTAGTTCGGTCCATAGAGGGGAATAGAGGTGTTCAATAAGCTACAACAGCCGTGTACTATCATGAACCATCTCTTGTTATGTAGATATATAACTGTATACTACAGTTCAATAAGTTCATACTTTAATATGTGCTTCCATTTCCATAAAATGTGGCTTCGATGCGCTGATTGGTCAACATATGCCGCCAGATTTATAAGAAAACCCTAAACCCTAAAACCCAGGAGACTTTTATTATAAGAATTGTTCCTTGAACTACGCGCGACCGCGCGACGCGCGTCGCGAAACAAATATATAAAAATACAATACATATGTATGTAAATAACTAAAATAATACAATACATATGTATGTAAATAACTAAAATAATACAATACATATGTATGTAAATAACTAAAATAATACAATACATATGTATGTAAATAACTAAAATAATACAATACATATGTATGTAAATAACTAAAATAATACAATACATATGTTGTTTTATTAAAATAATACAATACATATGTTGTTTTATTTAGTAGGCTATGCATATGTATGTAAATAATTAAAATACACTGTTATTAGTGACCAATGAAATTTAATTTGTTGCGAGTATTTGGTGTCGAACTGTATGACTCGACAGTCAACAGTCGAAGTGTCAGTGTCGAGTGTCGGCCTGTTCAACTGAATACAAATATGACGTTTGATTTGTTCTCACTTGCCCCACAGAATACTTTCTCAATAATGTATGACCTTGTTGGGTAGTAATAAGACGTAGATATGATACATGTATATGTGTATTGTGTGTATGTATGTATTTTTTTTTATTGGGATGATTCAATCTTATTTTGATGGATATGTGCTTTGGGTTCCTCTAACCATATGACCACTGACATATTAAGTGTTGAAGTGAACACAGTCCGAAACCGCAGAGTACTATTTTAGTATCAAGAATTTGGGATAAAGCCTCGCATTTATAGTCCTATACAAGATTTGATACTACTATACGTGTCTTTGGCAGGCTACAATCAACATACAATCACAGGCATAAATCAACCGCATACCCTTACGACCCTTATTTTAGTCATACATAGCATTTATTTATAGTACATTTACAGCAATATTTTTTCTCCATCGACCTCTCGTTATACTTCAGCACTTACGCTATATATTTATTCACAAAACTACCCATCACATCTAGTTACATCACCTCATACACACCATGGTGGATGAGGTCCGAGAGTATGTCTTCGGCTCCGATCCCTCAACCGAGGCTGTAGCCCGTTGGCGTCAAGGACTGACATTCGCCAACGTACCACACAACAACGCACCTGGAGATGATTGCCATAGCAACACAGATGCAAGCACGAGTACCGCAGATGACACTGTTGTGGCAGTGCTCACACAAGTATGTGACCACTGTGATCTGAAGTCCATCTAGGGCGTGGCAATGAATTAAAAATTGACGGATTTGCCACAGTCATGCTCAGGCTTTCTTTATAAGTTATATCACGCACTATGTCACGTAGTATATCACACATATAAGCATGGATTTGCTTGGTCTTTCAGGAAAAGGTTGTTGGTGTGTAGGTGTATAGCAAGTGTATACATAAACATATGAGTATGTTTACATTACATGAATATATGAGCATGTCCACATACATGTATGTACCTGGTTGGACTACTGATGACGTCGTTTCTGTGTTTTATGTTCAATTAATGCTACACGCTTTGTATATGTGTAATGAAGTGTCTGTCAACGCTACAGCAGAAGTTCTACAGTGATCCGATCCGATCCGAAAAATAAAATAAGTGAATATCCATCTGTGCTTTCTATATATTCACAGGTGTCTGCCGCCTGCACCTCCTATCAGATATCAATACACACTCGCACCTATCTATACCTAATGTATGTACAACATCATGCATGTGACATATTAAGTTTTCCCTGTAGATGCGTGCTCATGTATTTGTCCTCCATTGGGCTAATTTGTACCATAGTGTAGGTAAGAGATCAGTTGTTCGGCAATAGATATGCACAGCCCACTTTCATCGTCATATCAGGAATGTCTACAACTTCATATTATACCACATACCGATTTATTATGCATTGTTTAAGAAATAGGAACGTTGTCACTTTCACGGCTATAAATAGTCATAGGCGTGTGCGTGTAGTACGAGGCTTTGGGCGTACTCATACACCTTTCGGTATGGTTGAATGTTGTTCACCTCGAAACGCTAGGTTATATACGTATGGTAGCTGTAATACACCGTTGGTTGCACAATTTCACACCTGTGTGATCAGAGATGTATATGGCACACACCTTCAGAAATAGTAACGCATTGAGTCAATGGGGCTGTTTGCTCACACGTGCTTTCAGGCGACTGTTCAATAGCGTCACTCCAATACACATACACCTCGAACACTATATCTTCTGTACGTTAATACCACTGGTACTATACTATCCCTTCATAGCTCACCCCTGGCACTATACCTTTTGTGTGTTATTACCACTAGTACTATGCTATCCCGTCATTGTACATCCCTGATGCTATACCTACCTACAATACACCCACCTAATGCTTCCCTCTGCCTACCTGTTTGTGCCCACCCCCATTTTAGATCAGTGGAGGGCCGTGTGCATTGCTGGCGCCAGTACAGGCGCATGTGTTCAAAGTGCTGCTGTTCAATCAACTAGTGGGAATAGACACACACACACACACGCACAACAAATAGCCACAGACAACGGGAGAGACTCGCACCCACACAACAGACCATGACGGACAAATACGTATGAGCACAACATCTGCAGAGGAACAGATGACATCAACAGACACTCAGCAGCACACTCCAGCAGCAACAGACGACCATTCACACGCACAAGCACACACACACACACACCCACCCGCGCACACACCATCAACTGTCACCCCTGCACCCACCGCATCTGCTGAGACAGAGCAGCCACCCCACACACCTTCACGTGAAAAGCAACAGAGTCAATCAATTGCAACTGACCATGCACAGTACCCTCCATGGCTACTGATGACACAGCAGACGGCCGCAGATGTTCTGGTCAAGGCAATCTGCAACATCATCCACCAGGCAAGGTAGTCGATGTGTGCGAAGGG